AGGGGAGGAGAGGAGAGGAGAATCCTAAATAAATGAAAGACTGACAGTTGAATCTGTTTCCTATTCTACAGAGAATAGATTTTCCTCACAATCTTGTACCTAGAGCTAGGGAATCAGAATCATGGAAGTGACTGTGTACCTGGTAGTAACTTCTTACGGAGCTGCCCACCAATTCCAAATGTACCATTTGGGGTTTTATTTTACAGTCTGTTTTATAATGAACTGATTAGAGTCTTTCTCTTACTAGACTGTGACCGTAGATAAACTGCAGGGAAGTTGTGTTAATATATCTACTGAAGATGGTTTGCTGAAAGCTGAGTATCTTTATACAGAATCTTCATTTCTGTCTTCTGCTGCTGGGGATATTACATTAGGAAGTGTTCATGGTAAGCTGACAAAGGCCTAATGCATCTCAGACTTTCCACACAGCATGAAATTTAAGAGATGACTGAAGAGTTGAAGAAGGATCAGGAACCTGGCCGTCTAGATAATTAACTACAGACTAGACATCTTTTCCTCTTTTTTAAATCCATGAAAGTAAAATGACTCATAAGCTAATTTAACTTATTTTGACAAGAAATTGAAGATTATGCTGTTACATATTAAGCTAATAGCACTGACTTTTAAGCATATTATAACAAGAAATGAAAATATATGCAAGAGATAAAATCAAAGCCATGTTAATTTCTTATTTATTTTTATTTTATGTGTATGAGTGTTTTTCCTGAATGTATGTAGGGGCACCACATGTGTGCAGTGCCTGTAGAGATCAGAAAGGGTGTTGGATCCCCTGGTGCTGGAGTTAGGGATGGATGTTAGTGGCCATATGGGTGCTGGGAACTGAACCCAGGTCCTCTGCAAGAGCATCTAGTATTCTTAACTGCTGAGTGACCTCTCCAGCCCCCAGCAGTGCTAAATAAAATTTGGGTTCTGAGTGGTTGCTTTAATTCTAGGAGAGCTAATAGTTAAACTAAATTAAATGTTTGGGTGAATCTAATTACAGGAAGTCTGTAATACTAATTTTGGTTAAAATACTTTGTGTGTATTTATCCTGGCTCCAGGTCCTCTTATACCCTGCCATTTTCAGTTGTCTTTAAGTATCCTCTTGTGATTTCCAAAACCTATATCCACAGACAGCAATATTACTTAATGTCTGTATTATGGAAAGAAAAAGAGAAAGCATAAAGGAGGTAATACAGCCAAAGTCTTGCAGGTGTTCTGTGTTGCTCTGCCTGCATCTTATATTTCTACAGAGAAGATCATTCAAATCCAGGTGTATTGTCTGAAATATATATGGACATAACTAAGGACTACTCATCCCAGGAAGAAGTAGGGTATGTGCCCATCTGCCAGATGTCTATTGGCTCATGTTCCAGGAAGAGTGGATTTGAACTTCTTTCCATATATGGTCCATTCATTGTGCTTCTGTAGTAAAGCTGAATATTGGAATCTACATTTTGGCAAAACCCTCACATTTCAGTAGTGATCACAAATTACTAGGTTGTTCTAGAGAGTGTGGTTAGTGCTAGCCATGCTGTGTAGTGAATTGGCAAGTAGTCTTCTAGTTATTAAAAAAAACATGTTTATATAATTGGAATAATTTTTGAGCTTCAATCTAGTGATTAGTCCTCAACATTCCCACACTGATATATTATTTGACTCTAAAATAGAGAAGAACTATATGCAGATAAAGTAAATGGGTTTGTTTCTTATTTTTATCCAATTATATATTTAGTTCTAAGTAGTAGTAGTAACGAAGTGGTAATAATTTATAACTTCATATTTTAAAATGACTTAATAAGGATTATATTTCTGTGCTAATCATAATTAAGGTATTATGCCTAATGCATCGAGTAGGTTTTAGTGGAAAAAACAATACATTAAATTCATTTTCAGGTTAGGGGTTAACTGATACCTACAGGGGGAAAAAACCTGCTCTTTTCTATAGTACTTAAACCATTTTTATACTCCATTCATTAACTTTTAATTAATAGTTCATCTCTTTAAGAAATACAGGAGCTGAATTGGGGATAACATCACTAATTGAGTACATGATAGCAAGACAGATGTACTTTTTTGAGTGCTCTAGATCTGATGATTAAAGCAGCTGTAATAGAAATATTGCTAAGAATAAGAGTTCAGTCTTTAGTTTCTATAGTCTTTTAATATTTATTGGCCTTCAATACGAAGTCAAATATCTTTCCTTACATGGCTTAAACCAAGGTCTCTTTTGCACCATTGTCTCCAATAGAGTTTCCCCTGAAAGTAGCACACTGAGATGGAAATTAGAGTGCAGCCTGTTTACTAGTAAGAGAGACTTCTTGGGACCCACGCCAATTTCCACAAGAGAAGTTGGACTGCAGTACAGTTTCAGCAGCCCCAAGTGAAGGCTCTGAAGCTGCCATGGTTCCATGGAGTTGTCTCAAGTTGGAATGAGAGGAACTAGAGTTTTATATCCCTAGTTATTAGATACCAGCTGCCCCAGGAAGAAGTGTGATCTTGGGCCAAGATGGCTGTCTTCAGTAGAAGCAGTTTCCAAAGAGGGCTGATGATGGAGGCCTGCCTGCCAGCAGTATCTAGGAAAATAAGCCTTTCAGGTACCAGGGCCTCTGGATGATGAATCATAGCCTTTGCCACAGTTCAATTCATTCAGCACATTTATTGACTGGCTCCTGTGCCAGCTTTATAGGCACTAAGGGTACAGAGTTGGGTAGGAAATGGTGCATATCCTTAAAGAACACAGTTGAGTGAAAGGATTGGTGGGGGGTCTTACTTTATCAGTCACTACCATGCACACTGGGTCGCTATCTTCCACTCATCTCCAGTGCCTGTCCATGTTACCCTGCATCAAAGCAGCATGCACTTTTACCTTTCACACAGCTCTTGTTGTAGTACTAGTGCATCAGTAAGCAGGAGTAGGGGAGGGAAAATTTGGTTTAGTTACTTCCATGTTGTCCAGGCAGCTTTCCTCTCTACTCCTTGGTCCTCGTTCTGCTTTGGTTTTTCAGTACATACAAGAGAGTAATAAGAAAGGAACCCTCCCTCATTCCTTATACCCAGTGCACTGACTTTTTCTTTTTTTCCCTAGACAAGTTCTCACTATGTAGCCCTGGCCGGCCTCAACTTCAGAGATCCATCTGCCTAAGCCTCCCAAGTGCTGGGATTACAGGCAAATACTACCATACACAGCCAACCTTGACAATTTTTTGGGGGGAGGGGTGTTTATATGAGTTTTTTCGGCTGTATGTATGTAACTGTGTGCACGCATATCATGCAGTGCCTGCAGAGGTCAGAGGAGGGCGTTGGATCCTCTGGAACTAGATTTAAGGATGGTTGTTAGCTGCTGTGTGGGTTCTGTGAACTAAACCATGATCCTCTGCAAGAGCAGCCAGTGCTCTTAACTGCTGAGCCGTGTCTCCAGCCCTGATAATTTTTTAAACCCCCATACCATGTCGCCTCTGCCTCCATTCTTATTCTAAGAGCTATAGAAACATACTATTGAAGTTTGGGGTTTGAGGGTGGCAGAGAAATAGAGAAGCAGGCAAATTTGGTTCCACATCCTAGTAAGACTTTGAACATATATTTCACTGCATTCTTTGTTCTAACCATCAGCAGAAGGTTATATAACACAAATTAGATATATAGTTTGACTATATTTAACCAGGCTGACTTCAGATCTTAAAACTTGTTTTTATGGGAAAATATGTTGCTATTTCTAAGCATCTTTTTTTTATACATAATAAATTTTAGACCTCCCTCTGCTTCCCTGAGCCTGCATGAACCACTGGCCTCTCTCCTGAATAAGTCCATCATGCCCCCCACCACCTTGACTCCCCCAGCCTCATTCACCCTCCCATCTCCCCAGCCCGTGTCTCCTCCTAGCCTGGGCGCTGTCCCATTCCTTGCCTTGGTACCCCAGACACCGGGGGAATCATCACTGCTTCCTGTTCCTTTGCATCCAGACCAACCCAATTCCTTTTCTGGGTCCCCAGGAGCCCTCTGGGCCTCGTCCCACCCTCACCTACCTCTGCTTCCTTGGGATGCATGGCCCACCAACCTCTTTCCTGGACCCAGTGGCCACCACTGCTTCCTGATCCCTTGCATCCAAATGGACCAGTTCCTTCTCTAAGTACCCAGGAGCCCTATGGGCTTGGACCTGACCTCATTTCCTTCTGTTTCCATGGGCTGCACAACCCGCCAGCCTCTTTCCTGCACACCAGGGCTGACCTTTTGGCTTCCTGATCCTTTGAATTCAGACCAACCCAATTCCAATGTGCAGTCCCCGGAGCCTTTGGGGCCTCTACCCACCCCCATCTCCCTTTGAATCTCTGAGTGTCACCTCTACCAGCTGCCTGAGACCAGCATCTTTCCTGGGCCCTGCTCCCAGGCCAGTCCAACCCCCAAATTCCTGAGGCCAAAATCTTTCCTGAAGAGATCCAGACCTTAGGAGAAAGCCTGAGAGCATCTGATCCTCATCTGACTTGGGCCTCTGTGGGAACTCCTGAAGACAAAAGCAATCTGGCCACTCC